CTGTGGCTCAAGTGGTAGAGTGCTAGCCTTGAGCTGAAGAGCTGAGGGACAGCGCCCAGGCCCAGAGTTCAGGCCCCACGACCGGACCTCCCCAAAAATGAGAAACCCAGGGCCTAAGACATGAAGTACGTTGCCTAAGATCACAGCTGGCAAAAGCTGCTGTCAGGCTTTGAACTTCCACAACCAGGGTGCAGAGTCCATTGTCTTGATTATCCTGTTTAACAGCTCAAGCTCCTCAGCTGAGGGTTTTTTTTTTTTCCTCAATCACTAGTGCTCTACTGCTTGAGCCACAGCTCCACTTCCTACAGCTGAGTTTCATCATCCATTTCCCCCATTTCTCCTGCTGTAGGACTTGATCCTTCATGTCCTTTTGGAGATTACTTAAGTCCTTCTTGAAATTCCTGCAAGGTCACAGCCAATACAATGAATTTAGGATAAAACAATCCCTTCCTCCCAGAAGCCATAGCTAATCCAATTTAAGGGATCTGGGCAAAAATCAACTTCATATCTGTTAACCACCCACCCCTACCCCTGCTCCAAAGATCAATATTTACCACTAAAAATATAAGCTTAGTTTTAAGACCCAAGAAGCAATAAATTATTTACAATCAAGGAAGTCAGCAACAATTAGAATATTTCTTTTTTACTGAAAGGAACTTAAGTAATCACATAAAATACAGATTTTTCTAGCTACAAAAAGACTATGTCTGATTTTTAGAAATACCTATGCCTAAAATGAGAGTTCAAAATAGTTATAAAAACCCTGCAAGCCCCAGCATGCTTTCTAGGTCTTCAAAGTTTTATCTTATGACAAAAACCAAGCAATAAAAGTTAAGTAAAATTTTAGAGCTTTCAATACTATAGACAAAGCAAAAATTGTAAGGCTACAGAGGAAACACTAAATAAACTACAATCTCCCTCCAATTTTAAGAAGCATATATAAGAGAATGTTGAGGGGTGACAATGGAAAAGAAGTAATATACTAAAAGGGACTGCATTGATTTTTGTGGGCAATTTAATAACATCAGAGAAGTAGAATGGGTTTTCTGGGTGCATTTGCAGGATTTTTTTTAAAAGGCAGAGTTTATGGCTTATAGGTTTGCACATGTTTATTTTATCCAAGAATTTACTGTTAGTGTTCACATGACTAATTTTAGGAAAAGGATTAATACCCAGTATTAATCATGAAACTGAGATGAACAACTATTGGTTAGCCTGACTTATGATCAGGAGATTCTATTCTTATAAGCATTCTGTAGATAGATAGGAAGTTCAAAGTTATGCTTAGAAAACATTACAATTTATAGTCTTCAGAAAACATTTACAGAATGTTCTAGAAAGATGTAATATTCTTGGACAGGAGAAAAAAACATGAATTCATGAAGACCAAAACAAGCAGAAATTGTCAACAAGTGTGAAAAATGTTAGTTAAATATAGTCTCACCTTTATGAAAGACTTGAAGTAAAGACAAAAGGTGTTCATACATTGTACAAAGTCCAGATGTAACAGGAGAGATATGTTCAGTGGTTAAATCAATTTATGATCTTTCAAGTAGAATTTTATTTTCTTTCTTTCTTTTTTTTTTGGGCCTGGTCGTGGGGCCTGAACTCTGGGCCTCGGTGCTGTCCCTCAGCTCTTCAGCTCAAGGCTAGCACTCTACCACTTGAGCCACAGCGCCACTTGCGGCTTTTTTCTTTTTTCTTATGTGGTGCTGAGGAATTGAACCCAGGGCCTCAGACATGCAAGGCAAGCGCTCTACCATTGAGCCACCTTCCCAGCTCCTATTTTATTTTTCTCAAGTAAGGGATGCCTCAAATATAAAGGAAGCATGTGAGATGGGACCTTTTAAATTTATTTTTTTCTTTTAATTTTGATTTTAAAATTTATTTTAAATCTAAAAATGGTTTTTCAGGGGCTCCAATTTACAACCTAACATGTCCATTCATGTTTATAGTGCATCTTGATCAGAGTCATCATTCCATCATTCTCTTGTTCCATCCCACCTATTTCCTCCACCAATCACATCAAGTTTCTGGTACATTAAGTACCAGATGAGTACCTTTTTTGAGTAGGTGGTGCTTCAGAGCCTCAGGTTGTCAAGTGAACCCCCCAACTTTGATCTCTGCATTTTTCTATCTTGGGATTGCCTAAGGGTACAAAGACTGTGGCCTTTTGGTTCAAGGCAGCCCTACACCTCAAAGACATGTGATAGAAAAAACTGGTTTTTGCTGGAATCATCCAGAATGACCGTAAATCTATTTCTGCAAAGAAATTACCCTGGCAGGAATCTGTTTGCTCCTGCTGTGTGAATTTGTCAGACCAAAAGTAAGGCAAAGGGCTCCAGTGATTACTGGATTTCAGGGTAACCCAATCTATCTCAGCGTCATGAAGGAATTTTAGAGGTGCCAATCTGAAATGTTTTCCCCCAAGACTCAATGTAGAGGTTGCTGCTACTTGATCCACCTTGTGGTAATTATTTCACAGCTGGTAGAACTGCCAGCTGGGCCAATGTTACCTGGGTTCAGACTTGAGAACCGCTTCAAGAGTGGAGGGAAAGAACGTCAACTGACCTTTAGAAGAGAACTAGAGGAATGTTCAGTTCCTCACCCTCAGGAATGTTCTCGTTTTGAGTTCTAATTTATCTTTCATCCCCATGATCAAACAATACTACATTATGTTTTAGATGACAGATTTGTTGCTGGGTGCCTGGGACTCATGCCTATAATCCTAGCTATTCAGGATGCTGAGATCTGAGGATTATGGTTCAAAATCAGCTTGGGCTGGATAGTCTATCAGACTCTTCTTACCCCAAAGCCAGAAGTGTAGCTGTGGCTCAAGTAGCAGAGTAAGCCTTGAGCACAAAAGCTATGGGGCAGCATCCAGGCCCCTGAGTTCAAGTCCCAGTATCAGCACCAGAAAATAAAACAAAATCTTGTTAAACTAAATGCAAGGAACAGACATGGACCATTAACCCCGTTTTCCATTCCAACATCATGATTTTAGTCCTGCTTTTATTAGAAGGATATACTTTTTTTTGCGTGTACTAATACTGAGGCTTGAACTAAGGGCTGGGATGTTCTCCCTGAGCTTTAGTGCTCAAGGCTAGCATTCAACCACTTGAGCTACAGTTCTATGTCTGGCTTTTTGGTGGTTAATTGGCTTTTTTCTTTTTGCTTATGTGGTGCTAAGGAATCGAACCCAGGGCCTCATGCATGCAAAGCAAGCGCTCTACCACTGAGCCACCTTCCCAGTCCCTTTGGTGGTTAATTGGAGATGAAAGTTGCATCTTTCTTGCCCAAATTGGCTTCAAACCATGATCCTTATATCTCAATCACATAAGTATCTAGGATTACAGGCATGAGCTACCAGTGCTTGGCTAGAAAGATGCACAACAAAGATGCTGAGATCAGATTTTCGTTGCTCAAAACAAAAAAGCATGCTTTTCAGTGATTTAAGGAAAAGATGAGGCCAAGAAAATGCTAGAGAAAGAATTAAGAACTGGAATTATTTATAATGCATTTCAAATAAGATAAGAAAATTACGGCTGAAAACACTGACCTGATATAACATGGCTTTGAATGCCAGTTGTCTTAATCTCATGGTCAAAATTTCCCCCGCTCTGCCATAAAACAAACCCTAGGAAACAAAGAAAAATCTACATTTATTCCAAGCACTTTTCTATGTCTTTGTGACATTTAATTATACTTTTAACTCTGAGATGACAATATCAAGAAGTAATCCTGCTTAGTGATGTGTAATTTACGAAAAATTTACCTATATGAAGCCAAGTGTTGGCTGTTGGTGGCGGCTCATGCCTGCAATCCTTGTTACTTGGGAAGCTGAAATGAATAGGATCATGGCTGGAGGCCAGCCTTGGCATTTATTCAACCAATAGCTGGGTACAATGGCATATGCCTTTCAGTTTAGCTAGGATGAAGTCTAAAATTGGCCAATCACAGTCTAGGTATGTGCCTGGACAGGTAGTGAGACTCAATCACAAAATAACCAGTGTGAACATGGGTTGCTGGTGTGGCTCAGCGGTCTAGTATCTGCCAAGCAAGTGCAAGAGCCTGCGTTTAAACCCCATACAACCCCTACCCAAAAGTTTACCTGCATGAAATAACTGACAAAGCAAATAATGCCCAAAATGACGAAAATCATAGCATAAAGTTCGGCATCATGCTTTAATGTGGTTTTGTTATCATGTTCAAACATCTGAAAAGGAACAGATTTTTCCATCAGGAGTTTAAAGGAAAAATATACAGACCCCCCTCCAAACCCTAATATGTGTAGATACATCAGATTTTCTAAATGAATTGCAATATAATAAAAGATTATGTGTTTCTGAGGGATAAAGCATAGTGTTATTCTATTGTCTACTAGTAATAAACTTAATTTACTTTTGAATTTCTGATATTTGCTATGCAAATACATTATCAGACACATGAGTCTTGTCTCTGCTATTTAATACCATAGCATACTTTCCATTAAAGCATCAGTTTGAGCTGAGTACCAGTGGCTCACTCCTTTAATCCTAGCTACTCAGGATCTGAGGAGCATGGTTCAAAGCCAGCCCAGACAGGAAAGTCTGTGAGACTCTTCTCACAGAAAAGCTACAATGTGCCAGTGGCATAGTGGCAGCTTTGAGCAAAAATAAAAAACGCTAAGGGACAGCACCTAGGCTCTGTGATCAAGCTTCAGTCCTGGCAACCTCCCCCCAACCCCCGGCCCCATCATCAGGATGTTGGAATTCTGTGTGTGTGTGTGTGTGTGTGTGTGTGTGTGTGTCTTGGGTTTTGAACCAGGGGCCTGGGTACTGCCCCTGAGCTTTATTTGTTCAAGGCTAGTACTCTATCACTTTAGCCACAGCTTCACTTTTGGCCTTTTTTTTTTTTTTTGTAGTTTATTGGAGATAAGAGTCTCATTGGCTTTCCTATCTGGGCTGGTTTTGAACTGTGATCCTCAGATCTCAGCCTCCTGAGTAGCTAGGATAACAAGTGTGAGCTATTAGTGCCTGGTTCGAATTATTATTTCTAAAAACTCTTAATAACTTAAGTTTCTTAACATCCTTCTCTTGAGAGTGGTTTCTGTGATACAGGGCCTGTTGAAAGACACCCCAGAAATGGATAAAGTTCGTCATTATATTGGTATTTATGCACGGATCTAGTAAGATCTTTGAGCCAGAAACCAGCCAGCTCTTGTTTTTTTGTTTTTTGTTTTGGCACAATCCCAGTTTCTTCTTTCCTCTCCCTGAGCTGGCTGGTAATAAAACACTGTCATTGTTTCAGCTAGTTGAAAGGAGGGTAGTAGTATTTGCCTGTTTTATTGCTTTAGTGCTTAAGTAAGATTGCTGATACAATGCTGAATCCAAAATTAGAAAACAGAGCAAGTTCTTTACTTATCACTCAGCTAACAGCCAAACATGGTACAATAGATGCAGTTTATCTCCCAAGAAAAGAGATAACCTTCCTACCGTGGCCCTAGTCTAGGGACAAACCACTGAGCTGCTGAAAGTCCCCTTCCCCCCATTTTGGTAAGTGTACAGCAAGTCTGTTTTCTCTCTGACAGACTTTATTATGACTGTAAACACATCCACAAATGAATTGTACTTACCGTTACCATTTTGGCAAAGACGATCGAAAAGACAGGATGAACAGATCCGTTTAGCACAGAAGCTAAGGTCCCCAGGACCACAAAGGGCCATTCAGACTTGTTTAGTTTAAAAATTTTCAATAGAGGAACTTCAGGAAGACGTCTCTATAAATGAAATACCTTGGTGAATACCCCTAGTTTGAGAGCACAGTGCAAGTCAGAACAGCTGAGTGCTCCCAAACAGAACTGTTATGTAACATAGGACACACCATCAGCAGCAAGGTAAAACATTTTCCTTAGAAAATGTTCATTGCCTGTGCTATGAAACATAAAGGAGTTATTCTCTAAGGGGACTATTTGCACAATCTCAGCATTGCATTTCACTCAGTGGCTCTCCTTCAAAAGCTGAAAATTAGTGTACATGTTCTGATAGCCATGAATCACAGAAAAAAATAATAGGTCTACTTTTCATCATTCTTATTTAACAGTTCAGTCTCACAGCATAGCCTAGGGCAAAATCTTGGTAGAAACTAAGCAAAGAAAATGTAGAAGGTAAAAGTGTTACTAGGATTTGAAGCTTCAAAGTGTTTTAGGTTCATCATTTATTTACCAAATATTTTTTTTCTAATACTTTTCTACAAACTTGCTTTGGGCTTCCTATTTACAAGTGAAATGCTAGTTTGTCTGAGCATGTTATTTTATCTCACTGAATTTCACTTTCCTCATCTTTTCAAATAAGGACACATCAGTTCTCATCTTACAGGGTTATCTATCTATCTATCTATCTTTTGTGCCCCTATTGGGGCTTGAACTCAGGGCCTAGGTTTCTCCTTTAGCTTTTTTGTTCATGACTGGGCTCTATCACTTGACCTACACCTCTACTTCTGGCTTTTTGTTCTGTTTCAGTAAGAGGTAAAAGTCTATCGGATTTGTCTGCAAGGGCTGGTTTCATACCCAGATCCCCAGATTTCCGGCTCTTTAGTAGCTAGGATTACAGGTATGAGTCATAAGCATCCAGTAGGATTATTTTTAGAATGTAAGTTAACTTGGACTTTGTACACAACAAACATCCAATAAATGTTAGCAGACATGACTGTTGCTGATATTATTAAAGACAGAGGCTTGTGTTATACAAAAGCCTGGGTTTTCCATAGAGAAAGCAGCTCAGTGCTAATAAGCAGGGTGGTACCTGCCAGACTTCCTGGATATGGACAGGGAGAGAGGACAGTGGCCACAGTTCCCGAAGGATAGATCATAGCATGATGAATGTCTCCTTCATGTGGTCTAAGGTTTTGGTAAATCATTATTGTTATTCTTATTACTATTGTTATTTGTGTTGGCCTTGGGGCTTGACCTCAGGGCCTGGAAGCTGTCCTTTAGATTTCTTTTGCTCATACTGGCATGCTACCACTTGAGCCATAGCTTCATTTCTGGCTTTTTACTTCTTAATTGGAGATAAGTGTCTAATGAACTTTCTTGCTTGGACTGGCTTCAAACCTTGATCCTCATTTCTCAGCCTCCTGAGTAGTTAGGATTACAGGTTTGAGCCACTGGGCACCTGGCAAAGTCACTATTTTGAGTAGGAAACCAGACAAAAAAAGACTTAGTTATTCACAAGATAAATTTTTTGTGGCATTAACTCATAATCTTGGTATTTATTAACTCACAATCAGAGAATTCCTCAGGAAAGACTATTAAATAAGTTTTCTAATTCTGACTCTGGCTTTAATTTAGACTGGCAAATTCTCATTTGGACAATGGGACTTTGATAATTCTACCAGCTTTGAAATCTGTTTTCAGAATCCTGAACCTAATCTGAGTTTGTTTCAACATCTGACAGTTGTCTTTCTTCCTGAAAATTTCTGAAGCAATCATCAGAAGAGGGTTCCTTTTTTTTTTTTAACCTAGTTACTTAACTGTCCACAAGAATGCATGGAAATTAGGAAAGTTGTGCATTGCGTTTTGTAGAGTGCTAAACATAATATTTAACAAAATTACCTTATTTTGAGGTGAAACTAAGGTTAGCATGTCCCAGGGTATAATAGCAGTAAATTACAGAGTCAGGAAGCGAAGAGGGGGCAGCTTGTCCCTATTGGATAGTCTATATTACACAGATAATTTATGGAAGATGTCCTTTTGCCTCTGGAATAATAATAGGTTAAAACGGATATCATTTAATTTGTGTCAACAGATAGGAAGAAAAAAAGGTTAAACAAGAAAAAAACACTTGAATACCTTCTGTAAAGCTGTGGAAGATATGGTGCTACCTAAATATATTATATATAGGGTAGTCTTAAATGTGATATAAGAATAAGAAATAGATATAGTTTAAAGACAGAGGAAAGAATTTTATAAAGAAAAACTGTTCCTACACAATGAAAATTTTCATCTGCTGTGTTTTAGAGCTTTATTGAGCCATTATTCCTAACAATAACTTTTACATACATAAAATGTCTAAGCTGGTAAGTTTAGCCAGACCTACATACTCATGGAAATAGACACAGCTATTAGCTCCATCAGTTTTATCTTGCTTTTCTCCAGCCTCTCTCATGGTTAATTCTTCCCTTCTCCCCTCCTGAAATTACTGATATACTTTCTGCTTAGATTGCTTACTTTGTTCTTTTTTGAATTTAATGTGAATGCATTCATATGTTATGGATTTTTATTTTTTGGCAGTACTAGGTTTTGAACTCAGGTCTTGCACTTGCTTGACTGGTGTTCTACTACTTGGGCCATGTCTCCAGCCTGACTTTTTGCTAGTTATTCACATACCTTTCTGCCAGAGTTCATCCTGAGACTTAAGCTTCTAGCTCTCAGTCTCTAGCTACGATTACAGTTGCAAGCAACTGGCTCTCATCTTTCATCTAATTTATTTTGCCCAACATAATTATTTTGAGTTTTATCCCCATTGTTCCATCAATTAGTATTTCAGTCCTTTCAAATGCTGAGGATTATTCCATTATATGAATGCACCACCATTTATTTTTTCATTCACTTGTTAATGTAAGTTTGCTTGGATTCCAGTTTTGCATAATTAAAAATGAAGCTGTATTGAGCATTCATCTACATTGACTTTGATTTCTGTTAGGAAATCTTCTAAAATGGAACAATTAATTTCATATAGTAAGAACATGTGCTTTTGAAATTTTATACTTACACCAGCTTGTGGACTCTTTTTGCATTAGTTAAAATAAGTTTTTCCCCTTTTACTTTTTAATTAGGAAAATAATATGAATTTCTGAACGTTAAATCAACCTTCTGCCACTTATAAAATTCTTACTTGATAGTGATTTACTTTTCCTTTTATGGATTGTTGGATTAGACTTGTTAAGTTTTATTATGAGTGTCTCCATATATGCAGTAATTGTATGTATAATTTTCTTGTAAGCTGTTGTCTAATTTCAATAACATACAAATAATAAACATGGTCTCAGGAGATCAACTTTCTATTTTATAGAATTTGCTGGCAAAACCACTGGGGCTAAAACTTTCTTCATGGGAATGGTTCTAACCACAAATAAACTGAATTGATTAAAATTTATTAAAATTAATTTGAGATTTTAAAAGATTTGACATTATTCAAGCTATAGATTTATTCTTTTTTTTTTGGGGGTCCAGTCATGGGGCCTGAACTCTGGGCCTGGGCGCTGTCCCTCAGCTCTTCAGCTCAAGGCTAGCTCTACCACTTGAGCCACAGGGCCACTTCCAGCTTTTTTTTCTTTTTGTTTATGTGGTGCTGAGGAATCGAACCCAGGGCCTCAGGCATGCAAGTCAAGCGCTCTACCACTGAGCCACCTTCCCAGCCCCTATCGATTTATTCTTGAGTGAGTTTTGGTAATTTATGTCCTTCAAGAAATTTTTCCAGTTCATCTAAGCTGCAGAGTTTGTTAGGATAAATGCTTTCATAAGATTATTATTCTTTTAATATATGTAAAATCAATAATGACTTCATCTTATCTCTAATATTAGTTGTGTGTTTTCTATTTTTACTTGCTCATTCAGTCCAGAAGTTTTCATCAAATATTTTTGAATTTTTAAAAATCATTACTCCTTCAAATGATTTCCATATCTTCTCTCCCTCCCTTTCTAAAATATCAATGTATAAAATCTAATGAAAATGATTGTTTAGTGTTTCTATTATTCTACAAAGTGTGATTTCTGAGTTTACTTCTTTTTTTTTAAATTTAATTTAATTTTATTTGTGAACATACTGTACAGAGGGGTTACAATTACATGGGCAGGATAATGCGTACATTTCTTACCAAGCATTGCATCCTCCTCCTTTGTTTACCCTTCACATCCCTTCCCAGCCTCCCCCCCCCCCCCCCCACCCCCAACCTCCCCCCCCCCCCCCCCCCCCCGCACCAACGTTGTAAAGCTCGTTTTGGACATGACAACTTGTACTTCTCATTGTTGCAACAGGTCCACCTGTATCCTTAAACAAATGGTTTTTCCCCATCTCCTCCACAAGTTATACTGATATCAAATATAGTGAAAGCAGGGGTTATACTGTGGGGGAGGGACATACAAAGCAACAAAGAGATAATCTTATAAATGCGTTAGAAACACATGCATGAAAGAAAAAAACATTAAAATACATATCTAAGGATTCATTTTCCTGACATCACATTATCTGATCTTTTCCGTTTGCTGAGTTTACTTCTATTGATGTTTTTCTTTTCTCTTTCATTTTGGATACATTTTCCTTTTTGGTTGACTAATGGCTTTAAAATTTTTTAAATTAATTTTATTAATTTTTTTTATTTATGTACCAAGGAATCAAATCCAGAGCCTCAGGCAAGCTAGGCAAGCAGTCTACCACTAAGCCACATTCTCAGTCCCTGAATAGTTGCTTTTTATTGGATTCTTGAAGTAAGTTTTACTATGTTGAGTATTAGGGACATATGAATATTTCTGTGATGTTCATTGGTGACATTACAGAAAAACATGTAGCTTTTTGCCTATATTCATAATTGGAATAGATATTATACTTTTATCAAGGGTTAGTATGTTTTTACCCATTCAGATTAATTTCCTGTGAATTCTATCAGAGAATTGTGTCAGGGGTCCTTTGGAGGTCATGGACCATAGCTTTAAAAGCCACTAAATGCTTAGAACAGAGCTCAAAGTTAAACATATTTTTCTTGTTTATTTAAATAAATTTAAAAATCAAAGCTAGTGGCAAAAGGGAAGAGTGTAATTATGAAAACCCCAAAGACTAACTACTACAATGGAATGAATTGGATCTAAGTTAAAAGCAGTACTCACTGGACATGATGTTGAAAGTGAGTGGTACAATTTATGGGAAGGACAGGAGGAAAAAACTCAGAGAGAGGGAAAGAGTGACATGGTCCATAAAGAAACGTACTCTTTACCTGACTTATGTAACTGTAACCCCTTTGTATATCAGCTTTGTACTCATAAACCAACGAACAGGATGGCGATGCCAAGGGCAGAAGGAGGGCTTTAAGACGAGTAATCCAGGGAATTGAGGTGGTCGTTGACACATGCGATGGAGAAGAGTGGGTAGAAGACAGTGGGAGGAAGAAGGGCAGCTCAGTATCTGTCAGACCCAAGAAAAGCACGGAATTCCAGTTTGGGAGGCAGCAGTGGTCCTGGAACTGGAGATATGACACCCCGTCTTCCCCAACAAGCTATTGATTAACCCCCACACACTGGGGTCAGGGTACAAGCTTTCAAGGCATGCCAGTCTGTGTGGTAACAACTGAAGAAGCAGTACCCAGTAGGTAGGGGCAGGGCCAGGCCTCAGGGAATGGAGGCTGGGAAAAGTGTGGATTGAGCTGGGGTGATAATAAAATGCCTTTTATGGCGGAGTGTTGAGGAGAAAGAACATCCAGAGTGAGGCTTTGAGGCCTACGGTGGGGTTGGGAAAGTTCAGAGGAAAGAGGCAGAATGGAGATAGAGAAACAGGGCCTTCAGTCAGGTGGAGACTGAAGAGCGGTCCTGGGGTGCACCTGCAGCAATATGGGGCTCCGGTGAGGTGAGGAGGAGAACTGTGGGACTGTGTCTCTCTGCTCCAGTGAGCAGGGCTTCTCAGGCTCTGCCTAGGAGTGGAGGGCTGGGCTGTATGTGCTAGAGCTGGCCTGTATCTTGAGTGGGGTGCATTATATTCTTGCATAAGTTACCTCAACCTTGAGCATCACAGGCCATCTTCACCCCTCACTTCAAGGTACTGTGTTCGCCCATGGCTTGCTTGCTCATGGATAGAATGAGATTCTCATGTGATATTTTTTTGTCCCCAACATAGAGCTGTGACATAAATGTAGTCTTAGGAGATGCCTGGGGAGGTTTGGGAAAGATTTTGTCTTGTGATGTTAATGTGTCGTTGGTATTAACCATCAATTTTGTACGACTGAAATCAAAACTGGAGAGCATGTGGGACAAACGTGCTGGCAGGCGAAGAGTTACCTGTTTGTTGCAGGTGGGTTCTTCAGCCTTGCCTGAGCAGTCCGGCTGGATGCTGTTTGCAGCACCCAGAGACAAAGTGCTGGTGTCTCTTTCAGTGGAACACGTGGTGGACTCCGTGTTTTCATCAGCTTTTTGAATATCCTTGAGTAGAGAGGACAGGTTCTCATTAGAGTACTGTCTAAAATATTCTGAGGAACTGTAGTAAGGGTCCTTTGACAACTGCTATTGCTTTTGCTACTCGAGTATTCCTCATGATGGAGATTAGAACTAGGGAGCGCCAAGAATGCACCCGTCTTGGCCCATCCCAAAGCTGGTAAGCGGCAGCTAGCTTGCAACAAAGCCTGGAGCTCACGGCCTTCCCGACTTTGCCCTGCTGTGGTTTGGAGTCCTCTCAACAGCTTGAACACCATGGTTTCTGTGGTTGTAGTGAATTCTCACAATTGAGCCAAGTTTGAGGCAAGTTATATAGTCAATGTTTTAAAAAATGAGTTACTAGTCTTGAGCAGGAAAGACCGTGAGACCCTTATCTCCAGTAAAGCAGCATAAAGCTGGACATGGAAGGTGGCTTAAATGCTAACCTTGAGTGAAAAAGCCAAGGGACAGTGCCCAGGTCCTGAGTTTAAGCCCCAGTACTGTCACACACACACACACACACACACACACACACACACAGACACACACAGGAGATATTATTTACACTTATTCGTGGTATATTAAGATTTAAAGTGATCTTGTTATTTCGGACTAGACATAATTTTAGGTAACTGGAGACTACTAAATAAGATGTTTGATATTTTTATGTATTTATTAGAACAAACATTTTATTTTTCCTAAATTGTGGAAAACACAAATTCATGATCTAATATCACGTTTGTTTTCATTAATTATTTTAATTTTAAAACAAACAATGTTGGGGCTGGGAAGGTGGCTCAGTGGTACAGTGCTTGCCTTGCATGCCTGAGGCCCTGGTTCGATTCCTCAACACCACATAAGCAGAAAAAGCTGGAAGTGGTATTGTGGCTCTAGTGGTAGATTGCTAGCCTTGAAGAGCTGAGGACAGTGCCCAGGTTCAGAGTTCAGGCCTCATGACTGACCAAAAATAAACAAATAAACAAAAAACATAATGTTATTCCCAAGAAAGAAATAATTGTGAGTTTTTTTTCTAGTCCTGGGGCTTGAACTCAGGGCCTGGGCATGGTCCCTGAGCTTCTTTTGCTCAAGGCTAGCACTCTACTACTTGAGCCACAGTGCTACTTCCAGCTTTTTCTATTTACATGGTACTGAGGACTTGAACCCAGGACTTCATGCATGCTAGGCAAGCACTCTACCACTAAACCACATTCTTAGCCCAGAAATAACTATACTAGTTGTTAAAAATATCAAAAGCTTTCAGTTGGCTTTCATGTTTTCTTTACTGTTATTTATTTTGGTTTTAAAACATTAAAATTAATTACTTCATAATTCTTTTACAGAATAAAAATCATGCAAATTCAATAGTCAAATCACTGCTTAACTAATATTTTTAAATGAAACATGAAATTTGGACTAATATACAATAAACCTAGAGTTAGGTTTTGCTTTGTTTTGTGTGTTTGCTTTTGGCACCAGTGCTGGGGATAAAACTCAGGGCTTGGCTGCTGTCCTTGAGCTTTTTTTGCTCAAGACTAGCACTCTACCACTGGAGCCAGAGCTTCACTTCTGGCTTTTTGGTGGTTAGTTGGATAAGAGACTCATGGACATTCCTGCCTAGACTGGTTTCGAACTGATATCTTTAGATGTCAGCTTCCTGAAGCATTAAGATTATAGGCATGAGCCACTGGTACCTGGCAGGGTTTGTTTGTTTACTTAGTGTGTGTGTTTGCACACATGTGCACGCTGGTAGTAGAGCTGTCCATTAGCGTTGTCACTCAAGACTGGTTTCAAACTAAGGTTCTCATATCTCAGCCTCCTCACTAGCTAGGATTATAGATATGAGCCACCAGAACCTTTTCAACTTTTGTCTTCCTATCATTACTTCATAGGATATATTCAGAAGTAGTTCATTTTAGCATCATGGTTAACATCTGAAGTTATAAATTTCATGAAGCAACAGAGGCTCATAACTTTTTTTTTTTTGTGCTGGACGTGGGGCCTGAACTCTGGGCCTGGGCACTGTCCCTCAGCTCTTCAGCTCAAGGCTAGCGCTCTACCACTTAAGCCACAGCGCCACTTCCAGCTTTTTCTGCTTATGTGGTGCTGAGGAATCGAACCCAGGGCCTCAGGCATGCAAGGCAAGCACTCTGCCACTGAGCCACCTTCCCAGCCTTTGAGGCTCATTACTTTTTAAATGTCCCAATTGGCAAAAAGGTAGGAGCAGCCAGCTAAAGTAGAATGGCCCAACCAAGAAGGCTGAGATGACTTCTCCAGGTTACAAGGATAAAACTGGAGTGCAGCTGTGGAGACAGCAAGGCCAATTCCATCTCTGCTGCTCATAGGCCCCAAGCAAGAAATCACGTCAGATCCACAGGGTGTCTCATGACTCGCTGACACATGGCCATGAAGAATGTCTTTTTGCCATGTGCCTCCAGAATTATCATGCCCCCTTGCATTGTCCGATGTGCGTTTTACCTTTCCTTGAGGGGCTGTGTTTGGTACACAGCCTGGATCTGTCTGTGTATCTCTTCACCAAGTGGACATTTATTGAATGCCAATAAGTAGGATTAAATGCTTCCTGCACGTTTCCAACCTCAGTCTACCCTTGTTACCTCACTCTTCCTCCCTCTTTCCCCAACACTCACCTCGGCACACGGATGACTGACTGCCTTTCTGCCTCAGTTTTATATCAAGTACCCTTTTAGTTCCTTGCAGCTTCATTTCTCGCTTCTCTTCTGACTTTGTAAACCTTAAAAGACTCTTCCTCGAGGCCTTCTATGGGGCCATACAGCTCTCTGGGTCCTTATCAATATTAATTTTTATTTCTCCTTGGAACATCTGATTGCATGATTTTGCATTTTGCCTTGATAGCTGAGTGTTTATTATGTGTATAGCTCTTTGTGTTCTAACATATAACAAATTGCAGCATGAAATCAGAAGCCTTATTTGTAGTGTGCCTGGCCTATATTTGCCATTACATAGCATTTTATTTTATTCATTTCATTTTGGTGTTAGTGATTGAACTCAGGGCCTTGTGAATGCTAGGCAAATGCCCTGAGCTATATCCTTAACCCTTTTTAAAGCCATTAATCTAACTTCTGCCACACTTCTCATAATGCCGAGCCGATGAAACATGCTCACCTTCTTCATAGGAACCGTGAAACAACCTTGGTTGCTTGGTGAAAACCAGGATCTCTAATTTTTGGTAAAGTATTTGTTACCTCCAAAAAGTTAAAACCAGGGACCAGTATCTCATGACTATAATTCAAGCAGCTGTGAAAGCTGAGATCTAGATGATGGAGGCTCAAAGCCAGGCTGGGCAGAGAAGTCCCTAAGACTCCATCTTTAGAATAGCTCACAAAAAGCCAGCCTCTAGGTTTGGCTCAGTTGCTAGAGCACCAAGAAAGCAAGTGTGAAGCCCTAAATTCAAATTCTGGGGCCCAGAAAAAGAAAATGTGTCACTATAAGGTTATTACCTGGGACATTGCAAGTGAATAGTACAGGCCTTGCTTTGCTATTAGTTCAGCGTGTGTTCCTTTCTCCACCACCATCCCATCCTTTATTGTGACAATCAGATCTGCCCCTCGAATAGTAGAAAGTCGGTGAGCTACTACAATTGTTGTCCGGCCTTTGCTTGCCTATAGCACAGGATGTATGAAAAAGAAACATTAATTAGCACAAATAACCTGTTCAGTAGTCAAGAAAGCTCCTTTCCTAGTATCATTTTCAATATGGAAGAATCTTATCTTTGGATATAGACATCTGGAAATCTTAGTAGATTAGGGAAACTATTAGCAATTAGAAAAAAAGGAAGTCAGAAAGTGAACTTGATTTCCCATTAGTGGTTTTTGATAACCATATACTACTTTAGAACTAGAAAGGATCCAAAGGATCATTTCAGAGCTATCTAATAGGAGAAACCAAAAGGAACTAGCTTAAATTCATTATTTGCTACCTTTAAAATAGGGCCATTCCACATATAGTTGAGTACAGTCTCAACTGTATCTGTAATTCAACTCATTTGTGTTTGTAATTGCATTTCACTGGTTAGATCCCATTTATAGCATAAACAAGGAAAAATGCACACATTATAGGGGTTGACATTGTGGATTTCCAAACTACACACACACACACACACACACACACACACACACACACACACACAAGCCAAAATTAGGAAGTGGAACATTACCCGCACCCAGATGCCAGCCCATGACCTGTCCAATAATACACCTTACCCACCCAGGGGAGCCACTATCTCATTTCTAGCAGCAGAGATGACTTTTGCCTTCCTCCTTTCTTCCTCTTCTCTCTTTCCCTTCCTCCTCCTTTCAGTACCAGGGCTTCAACTCAAGGCATTGCGATTGCTCCGTTTGCTTGTTCAGTTGATGTCTACCTGTGTAAGCTATGCCTTCAGCCTGGCCTTTTGCTCATTACTTGGACATGGAGTCTCACAGACTTTTCTGCCTGGGCTATCATAAATCACCATCCTCTGAATCTCAGCCTTTTGAGGAGCTAAGATTATAGATGTGAGTGACTGGCTGACATTTTATATTTTACACTAATGGAGTCATGTAGTATATAGTTTTCTGTATCTGGGTCTTTTTGTTGTTGTTCAGTATTATATTTTTCCTCCATTTGGTGGCCTAGGGTTGTAGATAATTCATCCTTTTTTTCTTTTTTATATATTTTGTTGTAAAGGTACTGTACAGAGGGGTTACAGTTACATGAGCAAGGTAATGAGTCCATTTCCTATCAAGCATTGTTACACCCTCCTTTGTTTTTTCCGTACCATCCCTTCCCTCTCCAGATAATTCATTCTTATTACTGGGTAAAGTTCCACTGCATGATACACCTGGCCTTACCCAACCTACCTTTGATTTGGATTTGAGTTTTCCATTGCTTAAAGTTATGTATAGATTCTTACATATGTTTCATGTGAGCATATGCATGTAATTCTACAGGGTGTACTCTACTCTGGGAAAGGACTTGATGGGTCACAGGGCCTGTGGCCTGCTGTGCTGATCTGCTGTGTGGACCTTGCCAGCTTTACACAGTGGTTGCTCCACCTTCAAGGCCCCAGCAGTGTGCAAGTCTCACTGCCTTCCCACCCATGGTTGGCTTGTTAAGAGGAAAAAAAGCTAACGTAATGTACAAACATGTTCTGTTTTTAATAGGCATTTGTTCCTATGAATGCATATGAACAACTGCTTTCTTTCTTTCTTTGCTAGTACTGGGGCTTAAATGCAGGGCTTTGTGCTCTCATTTGGCTTTTTTTTTGCTCAAGGCTGGTGCTTTACAGGGCTGGTGCACCTCTTGAGCTACAGCTCTACTTCTGGCTTTTTTGCTGGTTAACTGGAGATAAGAGTTCCACAGATTTGTCTACTCAGGTGGATTTGAACCACAATCCTCAGATCTCATACTCCTGAGTAGCTAGGATTATAGGCATGACCTACTGGCCCCAATCAGAGGTAGATTCTTGAGGTAGTTGAGTACCATGCTTGTGTGAGTGGCCACGATCTAGGCCCCAGTGCTGGCTTCACTATGGCTCAGGTGTTAGGTAACCTCTTTGTGAACCCCAATGGGAAGATAGGAGAGTAAAGGCCATATGTAGCTCATGTAAGAACTGCTATCCATGTGTCCCTTTGTTACCTCTCAAACAATAGCCTACAAAGAGTCTCGGGGTTTCTAGGAGTCTACTAGTATTACATATTACATGGAAATCACTTTGTATAAGGATATTGGTACATTCTTTTTTTTTTTTTTTGCTGACAAAGTATACTTATTTTCCCTTTCTTAAGCCAGATTCCCAAGGGTACCTCAATTGATCAAATTCACTTCTCTAAAAGATGTTAGAAGCTTACCATTTAAAGGTAAGCCTTACAAAGATGAGCTTGCTGAAGGAGGCTTACCAAATGGCCAATGACATCAGCAAGAGGCAGAGTGTTTTGTCTTTGTTTTTCTGGCTTCAAGCCAGCCAAGGAAATCCCCTTGTAGAAATTCCCTTTCTGTTCCTAATTACCCATCATGTTGCTACAAATAGTTAAAAATAAATCGTAAATTCTCTAAATCCACATATAAGCATAGAGAAAGACATGTAATGGTTACAGAACATACACACCAGAATATGTGTGTGTGTGTGTGTGTGTGTGTGTGTAAAAATTGCTCTGACCTTGAGTGACTATTTATTAGAGCTTAATGAGGAAAAATTGTCTACACAATGGAGTTTTCTTATTGATTAATGCTCTAAGTCGTATAATGTAAGGAATCTCAGAAGACCCACAACATACTGGATCCAAACCAGCAGCAAAGTAGAAGCTTGAGCCTTAGACCTTTATCCACCAACCTTAGATGCTTTTGTTTTTGTTTTGCTAGTCCTGGGGCTTGAACTCTGGGCTTGGTAGCTGTCCCTGAGCCTCCTGTGCTCAAGGCTAGCACTCTACCACTTGAGCCACAGCACCACTTCCAGCTTCTTCTGAGTAATTTATTGGAGATAAGAGTCTTACGGACTTTCCTGCCTGGACTGGCTTTGAACTTCAATCTTCAGATCTTAGCTGTGAGCCACTGGTGCCTGGCACAACCCTAGATTTTTCTCTTGAACAAGATTGGTGATTGGTTGTATTTTTACAGGACCAGTGAGGGGGAAAAAGATTGGTGATGCACAACTAGTTTATAGTAATTTTAAGTACAAAGCTGGCACAGGTGGCTCATGTCTGTAGTCGTAGGTACTCAGGAAGCTAAAATCTAAAGATCATGGTTTGAAATCAGCACAGGCAAGAAAGTACATGAGACTCTTATCTCCAATTAGCACCCAGAAAGGCTGGCTGTGGAGCTGGTTTCAAGTGCTAGAGTGCAAATTCTTAAGTGGAGAAGCTAAAGAGCACCACTCAAGCCTTGAATTGAAGAATCAGGGTTGGGGAGGGGGGGAGGGCAGAGATAGAGAGAGAGAGAGATAGAAGGGGGAGAGGGAGGATGGAAGGAAGAAGAGAGAGAGAGAGAGGGAGAGAGGGAGAGGGCGAGAAGCACTTCACTTTTAGTACTATCCTGAATCACACTGATCCAAAGTCTTTTCTATTTATTTATTTAAATTTTTTTTTTTTTTTGGTGCCAGTATTGGGACTTGAACTCAGAGATTACAGGTGTCAGCCACCAATGCCTAGTTTTTTTTTTTTTTTTTAATTGGTCGTGGGGCCTGAACTCTGGGCCTGGGTACTGTCCCTCAACTATTCAGCTCAAGGCTAGCACTCTACTACTTGAGCCACAGTGCCACTTCCGGCTTTTTCTGCTTATGTGGTGCTGAGAAATTGAACCCAGGGTCTCATGCATGCAAGGCAAGCGCTCTACCACTGAACCACCTGCCCCTCCCCCAAAGTCTTTTCAAACCATGTTTCTTTGCTGCCTGTTAAGGGTCATGCGTTGTTTCAGAGAGGACCAGAGTGACCAATCAATGCCTTTCCCCCAGAGTCCACATTCTGCTAGGAGAACCTACATGCCCTTGGGAAGCTGTGTCCTATTTAAGGCCAATCTGAAGGAAAAGGGCAGGGGGAGGGAGAGGAAAGGAATAATATCCCACAAGAAGCATGGAACCCAGCAGCATAGAGTTCACTGCGAGGAGGTTGGCTTTCCTTTAATGTGAAATGGGGAGTGACTGAAGGATTCTCACAGAAGCATGATGCCATTGGACTTTAAGCTTAATAGCAAAGCAAGGTGGTGGAGACTGAAGAGGGTGTGGTGTAACTAGGAGTGAGCTGTTGCAATAGTGCTAGTGAGGACAGAACTGATTTTTTTCTTTCATTGCTGTTTTTCAGTTAAAACCTACCTTTGCTTTAGAAAACATTTGGCTTATGGGTTTTTTTTTTAATGACTATTGGTTAGTTTCACTGATTCTACTACTTCCTGTAAGTGAAAGATAATGAGATTAAAAAAAAGAGGTGTAAAAGGAATATGAGAGAGTACAATATAGGAGGGGAGGCAGGATTCCTAGGAACAGGGAATACATTGCATTGTGCCCTATTTTGTTAGTTAGCAACTTGCATGCGTTTGAAGCTGCAAAAATATGCTTACTTGCTGGTTGCTGGTGACTCATGTATGTAATCCTAGCTACTCAGGAGGCTGAGATCTGAGAATTGCAAGTCTGTGAGACTCTTATCTGCAATTAACCACCAGAAAACCCGAAGTGGCACTGTGGTTCAAGGTGGTAGAGCACTAGCCTTAAACTAAACAATCAGGACTGCTGCCAGGCCCTGAGTAAAAGCCCATGACCACCACCAGCAACATCAACATGAAAAAGAAAAAGAAAAAAGAAAACAAGTTTTTTTACTGGCTCTCTGCCCATAGCTCCTGCCTGTTCAATCCTAGCTCTATGCAGGAAGCATGGTTCAGCAAGATCAAGGTCTGAGCCCAGCCAGACATAAAATCCCTAACCTCTGTCTCAATAGGTGAGCAGGTGGTGTGCAACTGTCATTTCGGTTATCCTAGGAAGTAGGAGTTAAGGTCTCATCTGGCCCAGGTAAAAAGTAATAAATTTACCCTGTATCAAAAAGAAGCAGTAATGGCCAGGTACTGGTGGTTCATACCTGTAATTCTAGCTACTCAGGAGGCTGAGGTCTGAGGATCGAGATTCAAAGCCAGAGCTGGCAGGAAAGTTTGTAAGACTCTTTTCTTCCATTAACCACTAGAAAACTGGAACTGGTGCTGTGGCTCAAGTGATGGAGCGCTTGCCTTGAGCTGAAGAGCTCAGGGACACTACCCATGCCTAGAGTTCAAGCCCCATGTCTGACAAAAAAAAAGAAAAAAGCAGTGATAAAAGACCTGGGGTTGTGCCAGCTAAGCAAGCATGAAGACTTGAGTTCAAACCCCAGTACTATGACAAAAACCAGAAAAAAAGTCTGCTTTCATGGAGTTAGGCTGTATCATGTATCATGTAGCAGAGCTACCCAGGGCTCTCAGATAGACTGGCATCAAGGAGACCTATTGAGTCAGAGACCTCTTTAGAGACCTGAATTTACAAGCTCTGTTGGTGGTACTGAGGTGGATTCTTGTTTTCTCACTGTGTCTAGGTCTGGCTTCTCCCCTTTGCCATGAGCCATTTCCTAAGAAGCCTAAGGAGCATCTAATTCACCAAGCTAGAATTTCATGGTTACCCTCACCCCACAAGAGACCAGAAATCCTCACTTGAAGCAGATTTGCACCTCTCCTTCCACACTGACCCATGATAAAAATAAAATTAATACAGCAAATAGTTGTAGGGCTTGAATTCTGGGCCTGGGTGTTATCCCTCAGCTCTTCAGCTTAAGGCTAGCACTCTACCACTTGAGCCACAGCGTCATTTCTGGTTTTCTGGTGGTTTATTAGAGAGAAGAGTCTCATAGACTTTCTTGCCTGGTCTGGCCTTGAACCTTGTTCCTCAGATCTCAGCCTCCTGAGTAGCTAGGATTACAGGTGTGAGCCACTGGCACCCAGCTAGCAAAGATTCTGGTACACCAGTGTGATTATAGTTATGAGAATTACCCTGATGTGTAAGGGAGAAAAATGAATAGTCATGGCCATAGTTGTGGGTTCCCAGTGGTTAGTGGGGGGAGGTTGGAGGTCCACATCGGTTGGAGTAAATAGACACGAGGAGTCTTCATGCATGCGTGTGCATCATACATTGCCCCAATTCAAGCACTTACTGCTTCCTTACTGTAGGAGTGTCTAGCACTTAGTACCATGTGGCAGATCTATGTGCTCTTGCATTTCAAATAACAGTGAACCAAGAATATGGGAAGAAGAAATGCTTCTGTTCACTTACCTTCTCCAGCGCAGCTTGAACAACTGATTCACTCTCGGTATCGAGCGAGGAAGTAGCCTCATCTAAGATCAAGATTTTGGGGTTTCGAACTAAAGCTCGCGCAATTGCAATCCTCTGTTTCTGCCCTCCACTCATTTGAGCTCCTTTTTCCCCTACCAACGTGTTAAATTTCTAATTCAATAGTGGGAGAGAAACACAGAAATAGAAGACAGGATGATTAGAACAGGAAATGATAAATATAGTGGTGTGTGGGGGGGGAAGGGGGGTACTGGGATTTGCTTTGGGGACCTCAGCTTGCCAAGCAGGAACTGTCTCACTGAGACACACCTCCAGAACTCTTTTACATTTTTTTGAGCCTCATTTTCTGCCCAGGTGTGTGCCTGGATGGTGATCTACCTATTTTAAGTTTCCCATCATAGCTCAGATGACAAGTGTATGCCATTACATCAAATTTCTTTCCATTGAAATAGACTTTTCTGCCTGGGCTGGCCTTGAGCCACATGTCTAGCCCACAGATCTTTAACTTCTAGAGACCAATTTTCCTATTTTAAAAAATATCAATCTCAGCCCAGAGCCAATGGCTCATACCTGGAATCCTAGCTACTCAGGAGGCTGAGGGCTGAGGATTGCAGTTCAAAGCCAGCCCAGGCAGGAAACTCTGTGAGACTCTTAACCTCCAATTAACGACTAAAAGCTGCAAGTGGAGTTGTGCCTCAAGTGGTAAAGTGCTAGCTTTGCGTCAATGCCTACATTCTGAGTTCAAGCCCCAGGAGCAGCCGGCACACCCAAAAATGTATCAGTCTCCTTGGGTGGTGGTGGCTCATGCCTGTACATACTGTAATCTGAGGCTCAAGATTTAAAATCATCTCATGCACACAAATCTGAGAGCCTCTTTTCCTTAATGAACAGGCAAAAAATTCAGCAGTGAAGCTGTGGCTCCAGTGCTAGAGCATCAGTCTAGAGGGAAAAAAAATCCAAGAAGGAGCACAAGGCCTTGACTTCAAACCCCAGTACAGAAAGACAGACAGACAGACAGATACACACACACACACACACACACACACACACACACACACACACACATCTCATTGTAGAATAATTCAGATCCAGCTCTGCGGGTTGTGACAAATGAGTTCACCCACGTTAGAAGCACTCGCATGAAGAGCTAGCTTCCTTCTGCCTTGTTCAGTCCCTATCCAGCCTGCCTCAGTTTATTTTTTTGCTTGTTTATTTTTGTATGGATACTGGGTCTTGAACTCAGTTCCTTCTTCTCTCACTCACTCATGGCTGATGCTCTATCCCTTGATCCAGACCCCCCAGTTTTGATATTTTTATTTAGCTAATTGGAGATGAGAGTCTTGTAAACTTTTCTACGTGATCTGGTTTTGAACCACCAACCTCCAGATCTCAGCCTCCCGAGTAGCTAGGATTATAATGTGAATCATCTGTCTTTTGAAAATGTAACTTTGTATCAATACTCATTAAGGTCTGATATCCCCTAGTTGCCTAGAGTTTCAAGTTCTATTCTCTCTCTCCCCCATTCCCCTCTCTTCCTTGTTCCCTTTCTTCCTCTCCCTTGCTCTTTCTCTTTCTTACCCTTTCTCCCCCTCCCTTTCTTCCTCTCTCCCTCCACACCTGTGCTAGTCCTGCAGCATCAGCCCAGGGCCTAAGTATTGTCCCTTAATTGTTTCCATTCAAGGCTAGCTCTCTACTACTACTTGAGCTGCAGCTTCACTTCGGGCTTTTTGGTGCTTAATTGTAGAGAAAAGTCCTGACCAGACTGTCTTCAAACCAGGACCCACAGATCTCAGCTTCTTGAGTAGTGCTCAGCTTTGTATTACCTCTCTTCACAAATACGATTCCACATTTCTTATCTGACATTAACCTCATTCTTATGCAAACAATCTCTTGCCCTCTGCTTGTTTCAGGCCGTGTGTGTGTGTGTGTGTGTGAGACATTCTCATTTTGGCCACAAGATGCCCTCACAATTAACATTGTGTGTGTGTGTGTGTGTAGCTGTGCCAGTTTTCAGCTCGGTCTGATGAGTTTTACCTTCCTACAGCTTTGCTATTCTTGAACAGCTCTCTCAAGCCAGTCCCAGGTGGACGATGCCTGTCTGCTCTGGCTGTCAGCACGCTCCCTTCCCACTGGATAGTTCATCTGGGGTAACCCCCAAACCAGTCCCCCCCCCCCCGTGTCCTTCCTCGGTGGGCTCACCTGCGGGAACTCCATGATGAAGTCGTACGCGTTGGCCTCCTTGGCTGCTCTCTCGATCTCCTCGTCAGTCACTCCGTCTCGTCCAAACTTAATATTGTTCCTGATGGTCGTCCCGAACAGCATGGGCTCCTGGCTCACCACTCCAATCTGCTCCCGGTAGTGCCGCACGTTTAGGGCTCTGATGTCATTCTGATCCACTGTTATCTGCCAAGACAGAGGAAGAATGGAGGGGGTTGACTTTCACTGAACGCTCTGGCTGCAGGGGTTCCCCTCCTCGTCTCAAACAGCAGCTGAGAAGCCATCAGAAACAGGCTGCTGGGAGCCCGTGCCCCGCGCCTGGCGGTCATCAATCCTAGATGCTCAGGAGGCTGAGACCCGACCACTGAGGTTGATGCCATTCTAGGCAGAAAAGTATGGAAAACTCTGAACTCCAATTGACCAGCAAAATCCTGGAAGTGGAGCTGCGCACAAACTGTAGCGCACCAGCCACGATCTTTGGAAGAAGCTGAGCAAGATCATGAAGCCCTGAGTTCAAGCCCCTTCCTGGAGCAAAAAGCAAAAAAGCAAAATAAAACAAAAGATGAGCTGTGCTGCACAAACTAGTTGTGAAGTCAGTAGATTTCTTCTGGTAGATGGAATGAAACAAATTTATAAAAAGACTGTCTTAAAATCTTATTAGAACACCTTTGTCTTAAGACCCACAAATTAGGTATTAATTATCTATACCAGGTATTAATTACATATACTTGATATTAATCATATATCAGGTGCTAGTTACATATACTATAACTTACACACATATAATACTCTAGGTGCCACAAATGTTATGAACTTGAGGGGTTTTATTTGTTTGTTTGTTTCGTCTTTTCTTTTTTGGTACTGAGGATCAAACCCAGGACACTGCACTTACTAGGCAAGCACTTTGAGCTACATCCCAGCCCTTCTTCAGTTTTGTTTTAAGACTGAATGGGGTTTAAGTTCCAGGCCTTAGCTGACTTGCTTTTCCTTTCCTTTCCTTTCCTTTCCTTCCTTCTTTCTTTTTTTTCTTTCTTTCTTCCTTTCTTTCTTTCTCCCTCCATCCCTCCCATTTTTCTTTCTTTTTTCACTTTCTTCTCTTCCTTCTCTTCCTTCTTCCCCTCCTTCCTTCCTTCCTATCTTTTCTTTCTTTCTTTCTCCCTCCATCCCTCCCATTTTTCTTTCTTTTTTCACTTTCTTCTCTTCCTTCTCTTCCTTCTTCCCCTCCTTCCTTCCTTCCTCCTATCTTTTCTTTCTTTCTTTCTCCCTCCATCCCTCCCTTTTTTCTTTCTTTTTCACTTTCTTCTCTTCCTTCTTCCCCTCCTTTCTCCTATCTTTTCTTTCTTTCTTTCTCCTTCCATCCATCCTTCCTTCCTTCCTCCTTTCTTTTTTTCTTTCTATCTTTCGTTCTGCCTTCTTTTTTTCTTTTTTTTTTTAACCTTCAGTGCCTCACTAACCCACAAAAAGCTGAAGTGTGCTCTGTTCATGGGCACCAGTGATCTGCAGTGACCCTGTCTTCCCTTTGCAATGCTGATACATATCCTAATGACACAAGCCCAAGCATGGTGATTACAGGCTGGCTATTGCTTGCCAACCCTGGCACTTGCCTGGAAACAGGTGAGTATTCTAAATAACTGCTTCATACATAGAATGGTCTTCCAGAAATTTAAGAATGTAAGAATAGACTCTGAATCTAAGGTAGTTAAAAAGTGAAACGTAAAGGAAATCAGGCCCTAGGGAGTAGATTTTTTTGGGGGGGGAGGGGAAGCAGGTGAAACTTTGAACGAAGCATTAAGAATTATTTATGTGGAAATATTGCATTGTCCATGTAATAACTCTGTCTTGTTTTCCATACTGTGAACAAGGGTGAGAAAGTTAAGTGCAACATCAGAGATTAGAGAAGAGAGATATTTTCTATAGATATCATTCTTCTAAAATGATCTGACACATGCTGACATTCATTTTTGTTGCTGTTTATTGTTTCTTTTTTTGAGATAGTCTTACTGGATAGCCCATGCTGGCCTCGAACTTGTGATACTGCCTCAGCTCCCTGACTGCTTAGATTACAGGCATGCACCACCATGCCTAGACCAAATTTTGAAAATCTTTGTAAGTTCTGGACACTATAAAACATTGTCATAGTTTTGTTTAATATATGAATTTGTTTTTATTGTATCACATTAATACTTGTTCTGTATGTTGTTTAGCTATCTCTGCTTATTAGAATGCAAATCTGATGAAAACAGTGGTTTTTATTTACAGAAGAACCTAGGAATTCCTAGAACCTAGGAATTCCTAGAATCTAGGGATTCCTACAGCCTATTAAAGAAGTAGCAAAACACCTTGTAGTTATAACCTAGTGCCTCATATTTTTACACGTGGCTATGATTAAGCATGGTAAACAAATAACTAATTAAATAAATAAACCAAAAGACATTTCAAATGAGATCAAAACAAGAAAAATAAATTCCCCCAATTCTTCACGCATATATCACATAGCTCAGTTGATGTAGAGGAGCTCATTGAGATCATTGAGTGCTAGTCTGAGTGTTTCTCTGTTCTTAATTTTGTGAAAATATCCTCTTCAAATGGTAAAAAACAAAAAACTTGCCCTTGCTATGTCAAAAAAGGTTAAAATTACAGTAATTCTCCCAAACACCAAATTAGGTGAGAAATTTAAATGTAGTTTTCAAGAGCACCACTAGATGGCAGTATATAACACATATAAGGTGAATTAAAATATTTTGAGGAAAATTTTCTCTCGTTGTGCAGGTGTGATGTTAGAATCTTTGTACTAGTAAAGCATTGTCCTGCGTGTGTGTGAGTCACTGGGTTTAGGGGGTAGAACCAATGTGGAAACTGGTGGTACTGTAGTCTACATGTAGACTACTCAAGTTATGGACACGCTGATCTGGATATATGGTATAGATGAATTTCAGAGCATTGAACTCTGTGTATTCTGGTCATTCCACCATTCATCATCAATGGTGGCGTCCTTGGGACCACCTACCTGTGGATGCCAAGGTTCTAATGCATTTGTTGAATGAACAAATTCATAGAAAAAAACCAATATAGTCTCAGCTTCACTAATAAAAATGAGAAGACTGAGCCCCAGCACACTGGGATAGGTGATATAGCAAGCCATACCATCGGGACCCGCACTTACAAAACCGTCATCAGGGTCATAGAGCCTCTGCAGAAGCTGGGCCACGGTGCTCTTCCCACTGCCACTCGGGCCCACCAAGGCCACTGTCTCTCCAGACTTGACCTTGAGATTCAGACCTTTCAGAACCTTTAGAATACACGGGTGTAAACCAACAGTTAGGAATAGCTGTAATAGTTGTATGTATTTTCGTGAATTCGCTCTACAATTATACACACAAAAACACAATTCTTCCGTGACACTCAAGAAGAAATTTTCTTTCATGTTGCATGTTTGATGGCCTATAACTTTGGAAAATAAGCCAGAAAGAATTTTCCATCACTTCTCTCTATAAATAGATCCAGTTGCCAGCTAGCTATACATCTGACAAGGGCCTAATATCCAGAATATAAAAAGAGCTCAAGAAAGGAAAACTCTAAAGAATCAATAACCCAATTAATAAATGAGCAAAGGAGCTAAACATAGACTGTTCTTCAGAAGAACAAGCAAGAATGGCCAATAAGCACATGAAGAAATGCTCAGCACCTCTGGCCATAAAAGAAATGCAACTCAAATTAACCCAGATTCCATCTCACTCCAGGAAGATGAGTCAGCATCTGAGAATTCAAACAAATGCTGGTTGAAATATGGGTGAAAAAGCAGCCCTATTACACTATTGGTGGGAATGTCAATAATGCAAACTCTTTGGAAGGCAGTTTAGAGATTCTTCCATAGCTAAACATTGAACTACCCTATGATCCAACAATACTATTCCTAGGGATCTATCCAGTCTTACAAGTCAAGATATGGTAAAGACACTTGCACATTGATGTTCGCTGCTGAACTATTCCCCATAGCTAAGTTATGGAAACAGCCCAAATGACCTCCATGAATAAATGGATCAAGAAAATACATGATATATATATTTCTATAAATTTTGCAAATTAATCAGGAAGAATACTAGTACACCATTTGCAGGGAAATGGATGAACTTAGAAAAAAAGTGAAATAACTTGTGCTACCAAAGGGTATAATGTTTTCTCCCATATGTAGAACTTAGATCTAAACTATAAAAGGTATATATACAAAAAACAAATTGACTAAAGGAGAGTAAATTACTGAGAAGAGGATTCCAAAGTTGTAACTTCTCTGAATAATTAGTGAACTGTTAAAGACAGAATAAGAGGAAGCTGAAACATGTTTTGTTGGGGAGAGGGAGGATTGAAGGGAAGGAGGGACAGATGACTGGAGAGAGGAATGGTGGGAAAATAGTCATGTCATTCAACGTGTATATACAAAAAAGGAGCCACCTAACTTGAGGGTGTGGGTAAGATTGAGAAAGACTGATGGGAGGAGGTGACATTGATCACGATGCATTGTATTCATAGTTTGACTTGTTGAATTGAAACCCATTTGTACATTACTAAAGATAATAATGATAATACTAACACTACTACTAAAAATAGACAGATCTAAGTCAGGCATGATGACTCAAGCCTATAATCCCAGCAGCTCTGGAAGTAAAGATTGAGAAGACCATGGTTTGATGCCAACTCAGACAACAAGATAGTGAGATCATGTATGACCAAATAAGTTGGGAGGGATGGTTCATTTCTATAATCATAACTACAAAGGAAAATCAGGTAGAAACATCACAATCTGAGGCTTACTTACCCCAGTGGGGGCGGGGAGGGGGGGAGGGGAAGAAAAGAAAAAAAAAGAAAAAAGTAAAAGGTGATGTTATCTGAAAGATAATCTTAAGCAAAAAGCAGAGAAGACATCATTAGTCCAGTGAAGATAATAAGGCAACAAAAATGTTTGGAAAATAAATGGCTTTGAAGAGAGAATTTCAATAAACGACTTAGCAAGGGAAAATAAAGAATAAAGATCAGCTTATCATGAAAACCCCTTGTGACAGTAGAAGTTGATGTCATTACTAATTTTGTATATTTCACTTAAAATCTGGTACTCTTCTTTCCTCCGACAAAACATGATCTGCTAGTAGCTGTTCATTTCGAATTTTAACAGTATGGCTAAATACATGAAGCAAATGTGAAATGGAAGGTAATCAGAGACAGCCACATCTTCCCAAGAACTCGCCCAAAACGAAGTGAATGATGGAGAACGCACTGGGTGAGTGCGTGAATGTGTAAGTAAGTGTGTGTGTAAATGTGTAAGCAAGTGTGTGTGTAGAGTGCGAGGGATGATTGCAGATGCTGAAAATCAGGGGTAGGGGCAGGGAAAAGGCTCAGCACCTGCCTTCCATCAGAGAATCTTGTGATAACATTGAGTTATCCTTGCGTAGTGAGGTAATATCCAGGCGCGACCAGTAGGTGGCGCCAACAACCCAAGGCATTTGGTGCGCTCTGAAATCCAGCGTGGAGTTTCCATAGAGCTAAAAAATGCTTGTTGGGCAACTGTAGTAGAAAAAAAAATACTGGAAACTATAAATAGCTGTTGCAGAGTAATTTGTCCCTTGCGTATCTGTCTGTCTGTCTGCGTACTCAAGTCTGTAAAGCTCAGGAGCCAAAACCTTGTTCAAAACGATCCTAGATAATCTCATAAGAGAAGATCTCAGCCAGTGGCTGATCAGAAAGCTGCACAATACTGTTGAATTTGACCTACCTTGATGGATGGTCTTGATGGATAACTAAAAGAGACATCTTTGAATTCTACAGTTCCTTCTATGCATTCAGGTTTATATCCAGTTGTTGAAAAGTTATCTATACTGGGTATCTTGGAGAAATAAAGAGGATGTTATAAAATAGCTTAAAGATGGTTTTCTTTTGTATAATGTTTTCCCGTTCTGTTTTAGAAGGACATTAAGATAGACATAAGGATTTGCATAAAACATAGTCCCCTCTTAAAAGCAACTTAAAAGCCATCTTTCTTTCCATAGGCAACTGGCCAGCATGGTTAATACCCATTGTAACAAACCTGATAGTGCCTTGTTTATGGTGTCCCCCTTTGCAGTAAAAGTTGTTAGCTCTCAGGGCAATGGGGTCTTACTTTGTCAATAACCTGGAAAATATTAAAGGCAGCTCCCCGGGCAGCTATAAAGTTTTCAAAGTGTGGGGCAGCGGCTCCAACGCAGTAACTACTGTGAACTACACTGAAGAAAACCTGCGGAAACAAGAAATGATCTTTAGCCTTCTGCACCTGAATAAGCAGAACCACCAGGTGAAGTACATACTTAGGCTCCCAGACATATTAGAGAAATTGGGTTAGAGAGAATGGAAACTGTGATTAAATACAAAGCAATGCAAACAAACCCAAGGACTCCAAATGCAAATAAACCCAACGACTTTATTTTCTAATACAGAACAACTTGTGTGTGTGTGTGTTTTGTTGTTGTTGTTTGTTTCTGGTACTAGGACTTGAACTCAGGATCTCATGCTCTAGTTTGGCCTTTTCTCTTTTTTTTTCTTTTTCTTCTGCTTTTTTTTTTTTTTTTGTCGGCCTGAACTCTGGGCCTGGGTGCTGTCCCTCAGCTCTTCAGCTCAAGGCTAATGCTCTACCACTTGAGCCACAGTACCACTTCCGGCTTTTCTGCTTATGTGATGCTGAGGAATTGAACCCAGGGCATCATGCATGCAAAGCAAGCATTCTCCACTGAGCCACCTTCCCAGCCTCATAGTTTGGCCTTTTCTACTCAAGGCTTTATTATGTGAGCCACACTTCCACTCCTTTTTTTGTTTGTTTGTTTGTTTTGTTTTTTGCTGGTTCATTGGAGATAAGAATACTTTGGATTTTCTTTTCTTTTCTTTTGCCAGTCTTAGGGGTTGAATCAGGGCCTGGGCACTGTCCTTGAACTTCTTTTGCTCAAGGCTAGCACTCTATCACTTGAGCTACAGTGGCACTTCTGGCTTTTTCTGGTTATGTGGTGCTGAGGAATCCAACCCAGGGCTTCATGCATGCGAGGCAAGCACTCTACCACTAAGGCACCTTCCCAGTTCAATATTTTGGATTTTCAAAGCCCAGGCTTTGAAAATATCTCAGCTTCCTGAGTAGGTAGAATTTACAGGTGTGAGCCATGGGTACCCAGCAGGAACAACTTTGAATTTTCCTGTGGTTTTATGGTTACCACCTGCTGGGCCATCCGAGTAGGAAACTGAGCTGACTGAGACGTGATGACCTGAGCATGGAGCTATGGGTGAGAAGGTGAGCTTTGGCACCTGTTAGCCCTTCCCCGGAAAGAACTCTGTGAGCTAGATGCGGTTGGAGGGTGGGTGGGTAGAGGAGCAAGGGTTAGCCAAAAATCTTCATGCTCACATTTGGCTTGCAGAAAGAGCTCTAACATAGTGTGGGTGCTCTCGAAGGGATGCCTGAAACCAAAAGATGAATTGAGTTGAAAGGAGAAGTCTACCTGGAATGGGAAGACCAAACAAGAGCTGTAGTGTACGGAACAGATCACTTCACTGTGGCAAATGCCCCCTAATCCTGAGCTGACCAGTTGTTGACTGATGAAATTTGAGAGGATCATCGAATAAACTAAAATTTAAATATATAACCCCTAAGCACTTCAATGACACCAAATTGTAATGTTGGACAGAACTGTATGTAATTTTTTTATCTAATTTTTATGTTCTGGGTGGTACTGGGACTTGAACTCAGGGACCGAGCCCTGTCCCGTAGAGGTTTTTGCTCAAAGTTGGTGCTCTACCACTTGAGCCACAGCTCCACTTTTGGCCTGCTTTCTGGTTAACTACAGATAAGAGTCTGATAGACTTCTCTGTCTTGGGCTGGTTTTGAACCACAATCCTCAGATCTCAGCCTCTCGAGTAGTTAGGATTATAAGCATAAGCCGCTGGTATCTGGTTCCAGTCATTTATTTTTTAACATTATTATATGTAAATGAACAGAGGAAGTGCATGCTGTCCACAGAATATTAAACTTCAGAGGTGATTATTATTATTATTATTATTTTGGTCAGTAGTGGGGCCTGAGCTATGGGCCTGGGCACTGTCCCTCAGCTCTTCAGCTCAAGGCTAGCACTCTAGCTACCACTTGAGCCACAGTGCCACTTCCCGGCTTTTTCTGCTTATGTGGTGCTGAGGAATTGAACCCAGGGCCTCATACATGCAAGGCAAGCACTCTACCACTGAGTCATCTTCTCAGCCCTTCAGAGGTGATTCTTGAGTGCCATTGTATCTTGGTAAGCATGAAAGGAAATGTCCTACTAGAGACTGGTTGTTTTGACTGCTGAAATGAGAAAACTATGTGCCTGCAAGTGATGATTTCACTATGATCCTTCTAAAAACACAATGGGGACAATAAAATACATTGGATAAATAAATTCCCTCAAGCTGAAGGATAATATAAAATTGTCTATCATTCCTTGGAAGGAAGTAACTATTTGTGTGCAAAAACAATTGTGACTAAGCTCTAGGAAAGAAGACATCATCTAGATCAATTCCCTTTGTTCTCAAGCAAGACTTACAGCAAGCACGGTCCCGATGGTGTAGCCAGGTTCTTCACTAAGAATCAAGGAGGTTCCATACCAAAAAGCCAGCCCGTAGGTTCCATTCATAAAAAAATACACGGCCCCCAGGGACAGTTTGGAAGCGATAGCCTTTTTTATACCAACATCCTTTGCATCTTGAAGGTTCTGGGTATACCTAGCAAAGACAAAATACCATGGAATAGCCTTTGGTCGGGGCGGGGGGCGGGGGGGGGGCAGGGGGAAATGAACTGAACACGAGCATGTTTTGTCTTAATCAAAGAGACCCACCTTTGGATTTCCTTCTCCTGGCCTCCAAAGGCTATGACTGTTTGGATAGACGACAGGACTTCCTCTGCGACGGCTCCGGCCTTGGCATAGGCACTCAGCTCCTCGCTGGTCAAGGAGATGACCATCTGCAAGAGATCCCATGCACAGGGGGCTGGAAGGCTCAAGCCAGGCCGTGAGCAGGGCACCACGCATTGAGTTCAGATGCAGTCAGAATTCAAGGTAGCCTCACCACCCCTACATTTTCTTCTACTTGGTGGAACATCATTATTTTCTGTCCTTGTACCGTGTGTGTGTGTGTGTGTGGGGTGTGTGTGTGTGTGTGTGTGTGTGTGTGTGTGTGTGTGTGTGTGTGAATCCTGGGCTTACATTCAGAGCCTGGATGCTGTTCCTGAGCTTTTTTTTCCCTCAAGGCTGGTACACTACCACTTGAGCCACACCTCCACTTCTGACTTTTTGGTGGCTAGTTGGAGATAAGAGCCTCACAGGACTTTATTGCCCAGGCTGTCTTTGAACCGCAATCCTCAAATCTCAGCTTCTTGAGTAGCTAGGATTACAGGCTTGAGCCACTTGGTGCCCAGCTCTCCTTTTACCTTTGAAAACTATTTTAGAGGTGGGTAGCTTCACTGGACAATTGGGAAAGACTTGAGAGATATTGTTCTTTTAGGGGCATTGTGGCATTGTGGGAAGAGGAAAATGAAGGAAGCAGCACAGGTGTGCATAATTCACCTGTTGAATAAGTGCTTTATCTCCAGTACTAGGAGGATGTTGTTGTTGATTCAAGTATTTGATTTTCCAAGGTTTGAAGTCAGATGCACCCTTTCCTCTGTTAGCTGTCCCTCTTACTAACTCTTTATAGGTTAGTGATTATTATAACAGTTTGGTGAAGAGAAAAGCAATGTGGTCACTTTCAGGTCTGGGAGATTATAACACAGCTATGCACACAGCATATCATTTCAAGTTGATATTGTGAATTACAGGTTTGGATGGCTGTTGACGTTGACAAGCTGGGTACTGGTGGCTCATCTCTGTATTCCTACTTACTCAGGAGGCTGAGATCTGCGTATCAAGGTTTGAAGCCAGGCTAGGGAAGGAAAGGCCATGAGACTCATCTACAATTAATCACCAGAAAAGCCAGAAGTAGAGCTATGTCTCAAGGGGTAATGTGCTGGTCAGGAGAAAAAGAAGCTCAGGGACAGTGTCCAGGTCCTGAGTTCAAGTTCCAGGATCAGCACACATGCACACACGCACACGCACGCACAGACACACACACACACACACACACACACACACACACACACACCTCTCTAAAAGTTCAGCGGTAACATGAGCTCAGAAATACACACTATTTTCCGAGTTCACTTAATGAATATGATTATTCTGAGAACTTATCACTGGAGGAGAAATAGCATATTGGGAAAAGCCTTGAAGATTGTGAATATTTAATAAATGCCAGAAAATTTAACTTGAATTGGAAGATACTAGAAACTATTTTGGTATATATAGTAATTTAGGGACATTTTGATCCTCACTTCTTTATTTAATATAATAATGCATCTTAGTAGTATATTACATGTGAGTGATCTTACATGTGGGTAAACCAGAAAATGCTATGATTTGATTTTCCCAAAGGGCAATCATCATTGCAAAATTAAAACCATTGTATCTCCAATATAAGGGGTTAGTAAATACACAACAATAGAGTGTTCCAAGACTAGACATAGAGAGGACTAGTATGGATGTATAGCTGGCCTTGGATTTTTACAAAGAACAGTAATTTCAAAACCAGGCCACACACAAGATTAGTACCAATTCAACATGACTAAAAAAATGTAATTAAGGATGCAAATATGCAACTTGTTTTAAAAAATGAAGTATACTTATGTAATATATAAAATAGACACAAAATACATTTTAAATATTAGCTAAAGCCTTATAAAATGCAAACTTGAAGAGCCTGACATATAAGCAATTTAAGTGTGTATTACTGGAAGATATTTTTTCTCCTTTAGTTTTACACAGGAGAATGAATTAGAACCCATTTGCTGGGAATTGAGAGCACAGGTGTCTCTTGCAGCAGCCGTGACTAAACATCTGATGTATTTCATACTTTATTCACACTATCAGGTGTTGCTGAATCAGCTGCTAAATGGAGAGGGACATTTATTTACTCTTTATTCTTAGCAGGATATTTAAAAAAAGCCTCATTGTAGTCACGATTTGAGGACTGGAAGGAACTTAATGATTAGCAAGATCAGGAGTATTTATGGTTGAGAGTATCCCTTTGTATTCTGGGACATGCAAGACGAGTTTTATTCCTTTCCATTCCTGCTTATCCATGTGGTTTGGACACACCCAGTCAGGCCCGAAGCCCACACGTGTGCATGTGGCCACTGCCCCCTGCGTCCTTACTCTAGAACACACTGCCACTGAAGCCATTATAAGAGGCGATGTGGACAGAGTCACCAAGGTGAGTTTCCAGCCCTTCATCAAGCCAACCGCCAGGCCAATAGTAAAGGTCGACATGTTTTGAAACAACAGAGCAATCTTGTCTCCAATACCATCGCTGATTTTGTTGATGTCCCTGAAACAAGTCAATGAAAGGGACCGAGTCAGAGGCATGCTGGGTAAGGGAACAAAGCTGACAGGTTGCTTGCTACCTGTTCGTCTACTTACTCGGTCATGCGCGTGTTAAGTTCGCCGATGTCACAGCCGTCGAACCAGCTGATGTCCTGAGCCAAAATGGAGTGGAAAAACTGTTCTCGAATTCTCTTGGTCTGGCGTGCTGCAGTTGTAACCCAAAAGGAAATCTGTAGATAGCCAAATACCAGGGCCGTCACTCCTATGCATACATAATACAGAGTCAGCCTGAAGAAAGAGCATTGGAATGTTAGATGGAAGCACAAATCATCTCCATCAGATGAAGGAACGAAATTTATCAGATCATTATATTGGATAAAATTGATGGTAGAACCTAAAAATAACAATACGCATATATACATATAACAGAATAACCTCAAGTTTGTCTTTCTCATATTATTCATAGCAATTAGTATTAAAACATATCTGTCATTCAGTATGTTTAATACTCTCCTATTGGAAAGATACATGACATCAACTAAGATAGTTGTGGGAGAAACAGAGTTAAGAAATGTTTATAGACAGCTCCCAGTGGCTCAAGGCTGGAATCCTAGCTGCTCAGGAGGCTGAGATCTTAGGGTCATGGTTTTAAAGTTAGCCTAGGCAGGAAAGTCCAGGAGACTCTTTTTTTTTAATTAACCACCAAAAAGCTAGAAGTAGAGCTGTGGCTCAACTGGTAGAATGGTAGCCTGGAGTATACAAGCTCAGGATCAGTGCCTAGGGCATGAGTTCAAGCCTTAGGACTGGCAAAAGAAAAAAAGAAAAAAAGAGAAAAAAGAAACATTTGTGCTTACAGACTCTGATGAAAAGATTTCAGATATGAAGATTTGTCTATTTGGATGGACATGTGTCATTCAAAACAGCCACAGAGAAATGGAACCTAGTATAAATGCCCCACTAGGAGACCAGATAAGAGATGTGGCCATTTAATAACATATACTGGGTGCTCCTGAATGAGGCTGTAGAAGCACAACCACATACAAGAACAAGTCTTAGCCTTTTGTTTGGAGGGCAATGACAATACCCAAGAGAGAGCAATTCAGAGTGACCTGTGAAGGACGTTAATAAGATCGATGCTTGTTATTTGAGGAGAAAGAACGTGTGTCCAGAATTTATTTGCAAAGAGCTCTGATAAGTCAAGTATAAGACAACTTTTCTTTTTAAGTCAGTGTATCTGGCCAGGTGTGGCTACCCAAAGCACTTGGTAAGTGACTAAGGTGAGTAACTGACTTCTTTTTACTTAATTTGAGTAGTTTTGCTTAGTTTAAGTAGTTTATATTCATATAGCCATATGTGCTATGGCTGATATATTGGGCAACGGAGGTTAAGAATTAAGGTGTTTAGACACTATTGCAGGCCATAGTGTCCCTGGGGTTAGGCAGGATGAAGATTTTGCTTTAGAGGAGATGATAGGGTCCACTAGATCCAGAGGGAACACTGGGGAAATCCAGTGTGTATCTGCAGTGTAGGTGAATCCTTCCAGCAACTGCAGCATGTGTCGGGAAAAGTGTACTACTTCATACATGCTTATGAAACCAGAGTGTTCTTATGACTTGTTAAAATTTCACACTTTATAATATTTAGTCTTGATACTCATTAATAGTCTGAATAAATTGTCTTCAATATTAGTTAAAATAAAACCTTCATTTGAAAAAAAACTTTATTATTTTTACAATGTTTGTTGCATCCATCTTTTCAAGATTTTGTGGTGTGTGTGTGTGTGTGTGTGTGACACAGAGAGAGATAGATAGATAGATAGATGGAGAGAGAGAGAGGGAGAGAGGATGTACTGATGCTAAAACTCAGAGTGTTGTTATGCCAGGTGAGTGTTCTACCACTGAGCTACATCTTCAACTCTTCAATGTTTGATGTTTGACTTTCATAGAAATGATATTTTCTATTATAATTAAAAAGAAGAAAAATATATTTGTTGTTACTGTTTACTTGATTGCTTGTCTGGGAAGGGTGCTCTACCACTTGAGCCTTCCTGCCAGCCTAATTTTTTTGCTGGCTATTTTGGAGATGAAATTGAAGTAGACTTTTCTACCCCGATGGCTTTGAACTATGATCCATTGGGTCCCAACCTCTTAAGTTGCTAGGATTATAGGCATGAATCAATGGCACCAAGGAAGAAAATGATTTTGTCTTTTTTTAAAGGAAGATCATCAAGTCCTTCCTCTGGGATATTACCATCAGTTCTAAGGGCCAAATTGGCACACAATGAACATCCCTACAACTTTTCTGCTGAAGACAACTTGGTCAAATACCACTCAAAACATACGACCTGTATTCCATTTAAACGGAAAAGAACATACTCATATAAAACAAAAGAAGAGCACATTTTGTTTTAATCATTTATGTATGGCATTGGTCTTTAGACACACATAACAGTTGCTTTTCTCTACAAGTAGTAAATAAAGCAGCATTCAATGAGCATGAAATTAGTGCTTCATTTGGACTTACATGAGCATATCTTCATTCAGCTTCTCTTGAGTTTTAGTACAGTTCCGATAATTTGCTGCAAAACATAGTTGCTTTTTAAGTTGTAAGTGATATGAATTTATAAGTTAAACCTACTATTTCATAAATAAACCTCAAACAAAATCTAGTGCTTTACATTGTTATGTCAGGAGTTGTGCTATAGTTCCAGAAACTGTCTAGCACCATATTGACAAAATATACCACAGCATTATCAGTTAGATATGTACTGTCTCCTCCTTTCTAAAGTAGGTAACAGAATCAATTACAGGCTTCCCCTAAGAAAGTTGTCTTAGGTGGCTGGGTTTGTCATTCATAGAGACATAGTTGTACTGAATAAAAAATAACTCAATGAACTGGTAGATCCGTGTAAATAATGACAAGTAATTTTGCTTTTGTTTAGTGTATATAATTAAAGGATGAGCTCTAAAATTTGTATATGTATTTAATTCTGCTTGTATCATAAAACTTCACCTCCCCCACTCCTAACTCTTTAGAAGAAATCATTGTATGGAAGGACACAGAGGGAAAACAATAGTTTTGGTCCATTCAAACAAGATTGAAACACTTCGAAGACTAGACTTTGGGTAGAAAAGAAGATACTGTAAATTCTAATTAAAGCCAAGTAGGCAGGCCCACTAGTGGCTCCTGACTATAATTCTAGCTACTCAGGAGGCTGAGATCTGAAGATCGTGGTTCAAAGCCAGCCCTGCCAGGAAAATGCATGAGGCTCTTATCTCAAATTAACCACCAGAAAACCTGGAACTGTGGCTTGTACTGTTAGAGCACTAGACTTGAGCCAAAGGAGTTCAGGGACAGTGCCCAGGTCCTAAGTCCAAGCCCTACAACTGAAAAAAAAGAAAAAAGAAAAAAGACAAAAAGCTGAGTCGGTTATAGAGAAGACACTTTTTAGATACACCAAGACCACTGTGTAAAAGACAGTTAAGATTTTAGTGAGTTATTAGTCCCAATCTTAACAGCTTCTCAGTGTGGAATTTAGAAAGCTGTCTTTAAAAATGAGAGCATTAAATATATGTACATACATACATACATATATAATACCCACTATATAAAAAGACTGGATGCTGTCTCTGTACATAGGAAGGTCACTGGAATTTATCTTCTAAAGAATAATGTGAATCTATCCATGTCTGTTTTTCTCTCTTTCTCACACAGGAACAGATAGATACATCTATGCAGACATACTGGTTATTTCTTTATGCAAGCTATTGGATATATGCATTAATGGTTTCTCTAGAGAATGCTGAAGAATACAGACTTTTGTTCTCTAGTATCTAGCAATGCAGAATAATAGCAGCATCACTGTCTGTAATATGGACATTGTTTTACCCAACAAGAATCTTTCACTGTGACATCAGTGTCTGTTTTGTTTGTGTTTCTGAGTACCCAGCAATACAGAACAATAAATTGTCTACTCACTTGTGTTGGTTTGGACTAGACATCCACTAATAAGGTAGTCACTCATTTCACCTAAAATCAGTGACAGTAATGGGAGACAGGCTCCGTTCAGCAAAGATGCCAGGATTCCCAGGGCCATGAGGGTGATATCCATGCCATCAGCAAAGCGGAACTGAGGGAAGCAAAGCTCAGTAGGGTTACGACAGTGAATGGACAGACACCAGCCTGCAGCTTTCACCTCCAAGAAGATGCTACTTTGCCAGTTGGTTAAGAGATTGAGTAAATTACGTCATGGATATGCATTTATATATAAAGTAATAAAAATCCAAACACTCAATGTTAAGAATTTACAGTCACTTTTGAAGAAGACATTGAAAAATTAAGAAGCTCTCTCAATGCAATTGATATCAAAGGTCGAATGATATCATAGGTCAGGTCACACACAAGCACAAATCCAAAGCTTCTTTCTATACATACAAATAGGCCAGGCTGCTGGTGGCACATGCCTGTAATCCTAGCTCATCAATCATGCCTGTCATCGTCTCTATTAAGGAGACTGAGATTTGGGAATTGCAGTTCAAGGACAGCCTGGTCAGGAAAGTCCATGAGACTCTTTTCTCCAGTTAACCACCAAAAAACCAGAAGTAGAGCTGTGGTGAAGTGCTAGACTTGAGCAAAAACGCTCAGGGACAATGCCCAGGCCTTGAGTTTAAGCCCCAGGAGCGCAACACCCTCCCTCCCCGAAAAACCTCCCACAAAACTGGAAGTGGAGGTGTGTCTCAAGTGGTAGAGCACTAGCCTTGAGCAAAAAATCTAAAGGGCAGTGCCCAGGCACTGAGTTCGAGCCCCAGTACCAGCACATACAGACACAAAGGTATTTCAAAGAAAGCATCAACAATATCCCACTTTGTGCAAATTTGATTGGCAAAATTTCAGTTCCCAGGCTCAGCATCACTAAGTTTGCTAAACACTAACCAACTAGTAAACATGTAGAGAATGACGTTTTTAAAAAAAATTATGTTAAGCTCCTTGGATTCATTGTATATAGGACATTTTTAATCCAGTAAATAGAGTAAATGGCTGTTTATAATAAAAAAGAAATTCCTCAACTCCAAATACTAAATACTCTACTTTTTTTCTTTATCAGGTCCTCACAACACCATTCCAAATCCAAAGTATGACTGAAACATGGAAACATTACTTACTTACACAGAGAGATCAAGACAAAAAACAAAATGGCACCAAAGTGTCATTAGATTTCCATTGACAGCAAGTGAAACTTAGGACATACCTCATGTGTAGAGACTGAAAAAATCCTATGTTTTTCTATTTATTCATGTAATAATGAATCAATATTTAAGGAGCAATTTCCATTGCATTTTTCAATATGGCAGATGATAAGAGTGTATCAGGTCTCCTGCCTTACCCCAGAATAGGCTATTTTCTCCTTGATAAAGTTTACATATTCTGCTACTTCCCAGGTAGTTTGCTTTTCACTTTTGAAAACAATAGGTGTTATTTAATTTCTATTTATTGGAACATTGACAGGGAGGTCAAGATATTAGATTTGGTGGAGGGGAGGTTAGAGGACATGTTCATGAGATCGTGCCTGGAACATTCTGAAGATATGTGTAAAAAAGTTTTCTGGTATGCAGACTATACAAAATACTTCGATAATTGGATAATTAGTTTCTATTTTCAAATAATTTGCTCATACTTTAAGATAACAGTAACACACATCAATGAATAATTATTGGAAATATTGAAATATAAACTTAATTCATAATTCACCATCAATCAACAATAATCCTTGGGAATATTTATGCATCACACACATATGCATATGTACACATTCATACACACCCACTCACATACACACACATATTGTTGTTGAAGGCTTGAGATCATTGTGTGGATATTGTGTTATTTTTTTAAAATCTTTTTTTGTGGAACTTTCAGATTGTTTATATTTATCTTGATGGAAACTTTCCTTTGATAAATTCCTTTTTTCTTGCCCCTTATCAGAAATAATAGATTCATGCAGCCAAAAAACATAACCTTTTGATGCACTGCCAACAATTCCTAAAACGTTATAGAGCATACTGTGTACTCAATTTCACTTACTATCTCAATAGCACCAACAGCTTGCTTCCTTGATTTAGGAGGTTGTTCTTGAAAAGTTCTGGAAAATAAATGTTTAAAATGGGAAGGTTACAATGGAAGCAAAATTCACAAAATTCTCCAGCTAACATCTTGCTGAAGTGTCAAATATGACCCTTGGTAGCACGTTTATCTAAACTGAAATTTCAGACACAAATTTAACGATAGACTGTACATAGATTTTTTAAGAATGAGGAGAGGAAGGGTGGAGAATACAGTCATAATATTCAATACATATTCTACAAAATTAAGAAAATTGAGAGTAGGCGTTGGATTGTAAGGGAAGAGGGGAGGATGATGAACAGGGTGTCATCAATCAAGACATATTATATTCATAAACTGATTTGTTGAATGATAACTCCTTTGTAAACTACTTACAGATAATAAAAATATAATGTAAAAAAGTTACTAGGAAAATAAGTTGTCACTGGTATTGTTTGTTGAGATAACAGAGGCATGGTGTAAACAGCTCAAGTTTACCAAGCGAGTGATTACACGTGTTTCTGAATCCAGAACTTTAACTTTTAACTATGAAGTTATAATATGGCTTGAATAATACATGTAAGAGATAGGATTTATTTGGTTCACAGATAATGCAGAAGTGCCTGTAGCAAATATATCTCTTCATTACTCCTGTGTGCAATTATCCTATGGCATACAGATTAGATAATCAGCTTTGAATTTATTAGGAAAAGGTATTTAGTGTGGCAAAAGAGTGGGAAAAATGGACTTCATAAAATAACAAAAATGATTAAAGAAATAGCTGGTTTAGAGGCTGTGCCTGTAATCCCAGAACTACAGAGATGGAGACTTAGAGATGGGGCTTAGAAAGACAAAAGTGAAAAACAAGACTGAAGAATTAATGAAGTACAGAGTGTAGATCTTTTGATTTTCAACATGTCCCCAACATTTTTAATTAAATTAATTAATTAATTGATGATTGATTGATTGATTGTGCCAGTCCTGATGCTTGAACTTAGGGCCTGGGTGCTTTCCCTGAGCATCCTTTTGCTCAATGCTAGTATTATACCACTTGAGCCAAAGCTCCACTTGTCACTTTTTTGGGGGAGTAGTTTATTGGAGATAAGGGTCTCATAGACTTTTCTGCGCTGCTATGATGACAACCATTTTGTACAACAGAATAGAGGTATCTTGAAAGACAAAAAACAGAATTAGCATGTGATTCACCAATCCCATTTCTAGGTCCAACCACAAAGGTTGAAGTCAATAGACTAAAAAGTTGTTCATATTCCCATTTTGTTCAACACCATTTATTGTAGCCAAGATTTGAAAACAACTTTTATCCAAACATCAATGAATGGTTAAAAAATGCCATATGTATACAGAATGCAATACTATTCAGTCTTTAGAAAAAAGGAAATTCTGCCATTCACAAAAGCATGGATAAATCTAGAGGCCACTAAGTGAAACTAAGTGAAAAAGTCAGATACAGAATGACAAATATTGTTTGTTCTCACTTTTATGTGGAATCTAAAAAGTCCAATCTGTAGAAATAAACTTGCAGAAATAGAGATGAGGATGGTGGCTACCAGAGGCTGAGGGGTGAGTACTGAATGGAGAAAGGAAAGATACTGGATGAGAAGCAAAGTTTCTGTGAAGTAGGAAGAATAAGTTCTAAGGATCTTTTGCACAGCACGATGGTTATAATTACTAATCGTATTATGTTCTTAAAAATTGCTAAAGGAGCTGGGCAGTGGTGGCTCACACTTGTCATCCTAGCTACTCAGGAGGCTGAGATCTAAGGATTATGATCTGAAGCCAGCCCGGGCAAGAATGCTCCTGAGAGTTTTTATCTCCAATTAACCAGCAAAAATCCAGAAGGGGAGCTGTGGCTCAAATGGTAGAATGCTAACTGTAAGGGAAAAAGCTAAGGGACAGTGCCCAGGCCCTGAATTCAAGCCCCAGTAATGGTGCACGCGCATGCACGCACATGCACACACCCACACACACACAGTTAAAGGAGCAGATTTGATGTTCTCATCACAGAAATAAGTATATGAGGTGGTGGATGTGTTCATGAGCTCGAATTTGTCCACAATGTATCAAAGCATCCACATGAATCAAAGCATCCCATAAAATCCTGGAAACACATGCAATCATTATTTTCCAATTTAAAAGAAGATATTGAATAATTGAAATCAAATTCCATTTGAAACTGAAGGAAAAGTCCCCCAGGGCAATTTGCTTCAGCCTTAAGGTGTTTTTTTTTTTTTTTTGATACAGATGATTGGATTCAGAAAGATACCACAGGCTGTAGAAGCCTTTCCCAGCACTGATGAGTCATGTGACCTGAAGGATTCTCTGCAGGCTTATAGATTGTATGGCAAATGAAATGCTATTGTTCTGATAAAACTGAAAATAAAATCGATCTTAAAATATGTTCATTTTATATATCTAAATGAATAAATCATAGCTATAGGAAATTGAATAATAGACATACACCCACAATCAGGTATTTGGTGAAAAATATTTTTGGATTTTTTTCTATAGCTGTGGAAAGGATAGGGTTATGCATGAAGTTGCAGAAGAATACCTTTCAAAGAATTTAGGGAATACTTACCCATTTCTCTGATAATTATCTTGCATCTCTTCAGACCTTTCACAATTTTCCATCTTATTTGATGTTTAATTTGTTCTGAAAAAACATATTAACAAATGCAGCACAATGGTGAATATTTCACCTGATGATTACATAGCATTCTTGAATTCAGGGTCCAGGTGCTACCTCTTAGTGTTTCACTCAAGGCTAGAGCTCTACCACTTGAGCCACACCTCCACTTGCAACTCTTTGCTGGTTAGTTGGAGATAAGAGGCTCATGGACTTTTCTCCCTATGATGGCTTCAAACTGTGATTCTCAGATGTCAGTCACCTGAGTAGCTAGGATTACAAGTGGGACTACTGGTGTCCAGCTACACAGTATTCTTTACATCCTAAGGGCTTGTGAGAAGCAAGCTGCCCAGAACTTCATCCACTGACCCTTCTACTGCCCTGGTTTCTGGTTCATCTGTTCAGTTTTTGTCATTGAATTTACAACTTCTTCACTACACTCTGAGCTTAATGGAAAAGTTAAAAGTAGAATACAATAAGAAAAATCAAAGTGGAAAATGCATTGATTTGCTAGGATATTGGATTTTATTTTTATTCTACCACAGACTGAATTGTAATGATGAAAACCATGAAGTTACCTCCTGCTTAGTTTCTCTACTAAAAATTGAAATAACTTTTGTTATCTAGCCATTTGAAGGAGCATAATTTTTAATTTAATCAAATATGAAACTTATAGAGCTTCTATCACACCTGGATTAAATTACTGAAAGAACTTTTTGAAAACTCATCCATTCTTAACACTCTATTAAATATAATACATTCTTTTCCTTTGGATGATACTTTAGGATCTCAGTTCATCTTAAGATCATCACCAGATTATAAATTATTATTTTATTACTGATATATAACAATATATTGTGATTCAGTTTCACATATTAGGCCATATATTGATTTATACTGAGATTATTATAAATATATTGGAATGGGATTTATAATTAATTCAATAATACTAAGTATATGAAAAAACTAATAAACTTCCAAGTAGGAAGCTTCTTAGTGAAAGAGAGTGTCCCAATGTGTTAACATACTTGTAGCACCAAGAAAGAAGGTAGCTATTACACTATCTTATTCTCCTTTTGTAGAAGTCAGCAGCCATGGCTATGCATGGGAGATATTATTATGACGTTGTATTATCTCCAGTAATTTGACACATATATAAGAAAAGTGATAAACAAGAAAAGTCCTAACATGACTAGTCAATATCAATCATTTGCATCTTAGAGAAATTAGCAATACAGAATACAACTCCCACATTCATCAGAAGAAAGCCAAACAATTAGGACATACCTTGATATGTACAGGACCTGTTACCCAGTTACATCAAAAATCCTGTGTGTTTTCTCTCCTCAACGAGCAGCTGCATAAATATCTGAGCTTCTGAATTGGGCATTACCTTTCGTTGTTTCTGATCACACAGCCTAATATCTGATCATAACTGGGCGATGTACTGCCAGCAAAGGCACACCAAGTACTTCCTGTCCTGTTGCACTTGGGAAACAACAGGAGCACAGGAAGTTTGTGTAACCAAGTGAACACCTCCCCTTTCTCTTCTTTTCTCTTCTTTTCCTTCCTTCCTTCCTTCCTTCCTTCCTTCCTTCCTTTCTTTCTTTCTTTCTTTCTTTCTTTCTTTCTTTCTTTCTTTCTTTCTTTCTTTCTTTC